ACCTGACAATAGAGATGCCTCTTATGCACACCGCCTGTTACTCCCTTCTTCCCCTTCACAGATTTCCAGCCTTTCTAGTGGCTTGCCCTAAAATAAGTGCATTATCCCTCTTGAAGGGAATGACCTAGCTAACTTGTATCAAGCATTTTAAAATGACATGCGGCACTTGCCTGTGAACTTTCTGTCACAAGAGGATTATGAACAGTACTTGATAGTTGTCCACTGGCTTCTGTTCAGCGGCTTTCTAATTTGCTTCTGATCTGCGCCTCATTATATGTCCAGATTTCTGCTGCTTATCTGCTGCAGTATCACATCTTTAGCAAGCTTACCATTTTTCCTCAGATTGGTGTTTTTCCCGATGCCATAAAAATTACTCTGTGTTGCTCATTTTGCCTCAGGGTACCTTCTCCTCATGGGAATCTCCTTCTCAAATATCTTGTTTCAGTTTTTTGAAGCAAAATTTGGTTTTGTGTCTGCGTCCAACATTGAATCTCTCATACAAACTATCTAGTCTACCCAAATAGGATAAAACAATGACAGGATGAGAAATAGCTTTACACAAACACCAATTCTTTTGTAAAACATCAGGGCGCAATTGCAAATGCTATTGTTTTTTTTCAGGGCTGTGGTAGAGTCTATCCCCACAGCTTTAGTCAGAGCATGACAAAAGGAACCCAAACCAGGGGGGCTGAACATGGTCATTCATTTCCAGATAATAATCTGATGTCCATCCCAGGCATTAAGACATCTGAAGCTACTTAGTATTTCAGCAAGTACTGTGGTTTGCTGTAGAGAGACGCCCTTAAGTAAAGGGATCATGGAAATTTTTGGTAGTTAATGTCCTCAGAAAAGGTCTGTGAAGAATTTATTTCATTTTCAGCTGCTGTTTCTAGTAGTCTTAGAAGCTCTGACAGGGTCGAGCAGAACAGTTTACGACAGCTACTGTGCCCTGCAGTGGTGGGCCAGCCTTTAAGGCATGCCAGACTGCAACCGAGAGCCTTCCCACCCCCCCAGCTCTTCTATTAAGGGAACTAGACAGACATGTTTGTGGTCTCTCTTCCCAGACAGCTTTTTTCCGGGACCCGGGCTCTAATGAATCTCAAGATTAGGCACAACAATAAGCAACACGGGAGACTAGGCCAATGACACGGTAATTGCAGTTATTCCCAGGTTTCTGGGAAACCCAGCATAGCTCAGAGCTGAGCCAGAGCATGACAGAGAGTCAGCGCATAATTTATTTCATCCCTTTCAGCCCTTCAGAAAGACCGCCTGGAAATGCGATAGGATGTCTGTCCAGGCCCACCCTTCTTTGCAAGGCTGAAGCATTTTGTTTGTGGCAGCCTTTGTTTGGCAGGGGGGAGAGGGGAAGCAGCTGCTGAGTCTTTGGTTAGACAGAAGCAGCTTTCAGTGATGCTGGCTTTGAGACTGTCATTGATATTGGCAAATCTGGAGACAGATATTTTATCCTGGAAAAGTTCCCTGCAGTTTTGGATTCAAAGCTCTGGTGCCTCCAACAAGGTGACAGGAGGGCAACCCTCACCTACTCAGTTGCATGGCCTCCAGCGTAGGTGCAGAGGCACAGAAATAACTTGGTTAACCTCAGAGAGGAAGAACTGCAGTTGTATAATCACCAAGTGCCAAGCCACAAACGCCTCAGGGGAAATTCTTGTGGAGAGCACCTGGCTGAACAGGAATATGGTCTGTCTTTTCTACAGATGTAAATTCTAGGCCCTATATTCCTCATCATGTAAGGAATCGTACCTGTGCCTCTTACCACCTTCAGGCAGAGCCCTCACCCAAGCTCAGGCAAAGACAGGCTTATAAAGACTGGACCTTTGCCTGTCTCCTGCTGCGGTGTTTGTAGCCGGCGCTGTTGCTGCGATTCTGCAGCAGAGTGCAAGTGAGAGCAGCTTCAGCATCTCCCATAACCAGGAGAGTGCAAAAAGGTTGCTGTAAAGCCCTTTTGATTTCTCCTTCGCGAAGGAGGAGGTGTGGGGGATTCACACAGCCAGAAGGTAACTCTTGGGGTTTGCTGAGGGGCTTGGGAAACAAAAACTAGGAGCTAATCTAATCTGGAGTCTGTCCCACAGTCCTTAATTTACTATCTGGAAATTTGGAAAATACAAGTATCTCCAATTAAAAACAAGAACCATTTGTGTGTCATGGTTAATGCAGATTTATTTCTGTCAATATAATAAATTCAGCACAGATTGGAACCAGCTGCCCCAGCTCTAAGTACCTGAAGTTCCTCCTGCGTGTCACCAGGCCTAGGCCTCAGATGCAGTCATGCCGTAAGTCTTACTGGCCAAGGGGACAGCTCAGCATTGTCCTTGCTTTCAAAAGGAAATAAATGCTCCTAGGCAAGGACTGGCAAGGGAGCTTCGTCATGGAAAACCTGAGAGCCAAATCAATCTACTTTAAAAGTGATTGATTACTCCAGTGCAGAGAGGAAGCAGGAACAGGGCTTATGGATATAGGGGAACACATTTTATTTAAAAAAAAAAATAAAAAAAATCGTCTCTCTGACTAGCATCCTTCAATAAATCTTCATTTGGGCTCCTGTCATTCCTGAAAGTCATAGCGCAGAGGGAGATGTATCCTATTCTAACTGAAAGAAAAGAGCCACACAAAGGTAGAGACGCTGATCTTCCCCTAACCTCAGCTCTGCCACCACTTGCCAAGTCTCCTTGTATCCAGGCAAAACACCCAAGAGCAGTAAACCTGAAAAGGCACCTGCAGCTTTCCGCCACTCCAAATACACAAAGTCTTTTTCGTATCCAGAGGTAGGGCAGTAGAACAGGCTATTTCACTTCTCTTCTGTGTCATCTCACCTATTGGGACTGTAAGATCTCTGGAGCAGGATTGTCTTGCGGGTTAGAGCCACACAGGTTTTTATTGCCACCTGGGGAAAAGCTCTGTAAATATTGCAGCTGTTGGTCCACATGCCTGCCCTCCAGGCAGTCCATGCACCTCGTGTAACTACTCGGTGAAGTGGTAAGACACCAGCTTTGATCATTACTCCAGCTATGGGACAATCTGTATTGCCCTGAGCTCTCCGAACAGACACTGGATAAATCATTGGCTTTCTCCTTCCTGATAGTTGTGAAGAGCTCTTCCTCTGCAGGTCCTGAGATGCTTAGCACAGAGGAGCATAGAAGGGGTCAGGGAAAGGTTTTTGCTGAAAATACGTTACACTAAGAGACCTTTGGTTTCTTGCCTTTGTAAATGTGGAAGCTACATAGTCTGCATTTCCGTTTACAGTCTGATAATACAGTCAGACAAAAATTCTCATAGGACATAAGTTGCGATGATCATTTGGAAGAAGAGAAAAAGGTATTCTTGAAAACGTGTCAGTTTCTTTTAAATTTCATTTTTCTCTTGAACAACTCAGCTGCTGGCCGTAGCATTTGGTCCCTCTCAGGCAAGTGAACTCCAGCCAAAACATTTAAGTACAACAAATAGTTTTGTTGTATTGTTTTTGAAAACAACAATTAAATCACTGGAGAGTAAAGCATCAGGTAACATGGTGCTTTTTTGCAGCAGAGTAGGTTACTTTCAACATGCTCTGGCTATCGCCAAGAAGAGGCACTATGCACATTTCAACCATGCTAAATTACAACTGAAAAACATTTGCATAAAACCAGCTGCTTCTCCTCTGCCCAGAGGATGTTCTGTTGGCAGATACTGTAGAAACAACAAGTTCTCAGACAGGAATTACACTGCAAGATGAAGAACACTTTGGCTTTATTACACCATGAAAGAGCATAAAGCCAAGGGACAGTCAACCAAAGCAGTGAACAGAGCGCATTTAGTGTTGAGCAAACCCCGCTGAGTTTTCTTTCACATCCATCAATTAAGCTTTGCAGATCGGTTCTTTACAACAAGACTATCAGCCACTGCCACAAACCAGCATGTTTTGCTAACAGTAGTACTGATACAACTTCCCTGAGCCCTTACTTTAACGTGGCAGACTTCACACACACACAAATTACTCATTTTCATCTACTAATACTGAAACACTGTCAGCATTTTCAGCTGGATAAATCCCTTCCAATCACTGTCCCATGTTAAACTCATCGCTGAATTTAACACTACTCACAGCTGTATTTCAGTAAACAGCAAATTAGTTCCTGCACAGGCTAGTTTGCCAAAGTCCCTGGGAGCTTTTAGGCCACGAGACACTAAACAGGAATATATTGCAAGCAAAGTGAAAAAAAAAAAACCCAACCAGCTAAAACACAGAGTCCCTTACCTGCTGGGAACTGTGGTGTTACAGCCAATAGCAGTCTGCTGCAATGACCATGTTGGGGCCAAAAGAGCTCAGGTTTGCCAAATTTAAAGGCTTAGCCCCAAGCAAGGCATGCAAGGAGAGGGAGCAGTCCTCCTCTGAGCATAGTGGGGTGCATAGGGAGAGGGGACAACAGCAGTTCCAGGAGGCTCTGGTTCTGAAGCACTCTTGGAAATTACTTCTGTGAGGTTTGGAGGGTGAGAAGCTTGGATCTGAGCTGATTTAGCCACAAAGAGAAGTTTATTTGTTGAAGTGCAGCTCCAGTGAGTGACAGACGTGTACCCCCAGCTTCCCTGCAGGCAGCCCTCTGAATGGCCAGGCACCGAAGCTCTTCCTCTTCTCTCCTGACCACACGTCAGACCCAGGCAGGCAGCGTGAGCTGTGATGTGCTGTCCTATCTGACCTGGCCCACGCTGTGGGGTCATGCTGCAGCTGGCGTTACTGTCACACATGTCCAGCCTGACAGCCCTTGTCTGTATCACGTCATGAGATCCCAGAGGCATCCCCCTTCCCATGCATAACTCAGCCTTGGAGAAGAATTTGAATTTTGAGACGTGTGAGCCTGGTGTGGACCCACAGGCACCTGATCCTGCCACAGTTGTCCTAGTGGTCCCCATTTAGAATGCATCCAGGTGACATGGTCCCTGGGGAACTGCCTTTGGAAGGCTCTTCTTTGCCTGGGGTGGTGAGGAGCCAGGTTCTCCAGCTAACCATGCTCTGTTTCTGTCAGGACAGTAGTGAGGCAGCTGATGGAGCTGGCCCCTGGGATGAAGAAGTCACCAAGTGGTGGGGAGAGTGGAGCTCCTGGTCTACCTGCTCCCGGTCCTGTGGGGGAGGTGTGATGTCCCGGGAGAGGCACTGCTTGCAACAGAGGTGAGTCGTGTTCCAGCTTGAGCCCTTGGCCAGGTCTCAACTGGCAGAGGGGAAATGAGGTGCCACCGACCTGTGTTTTGGGGTCGAACCTCCTGGGTTTGCAGGGTCGGCCGTTCCCTCTTCTGTGGCCTCTTGGAAGGGAAGGCAGCTGTTGCCTGTGGGGGCGATGGTGGGGAGGGCTGTCGAGGGAGAAGCACACCGCTGTGGGGCAGACAACAGGCCCCCTGGTCACATCACCCCCTCAGCCTGGCTCATCTGATGGGGAGCAAGGCGTTGGTCCCCTCTTGGGGTCTGTGGGAGACTTGAAGATGATGGGGTTGTGGGCTGGAGAAGGCTAGCTCTATTCCTCTTCCCCTTTCCTTCGCAAACCCTCACTTACCGTGGCTGCTCTGACCATTCTAACCCTGATTTGTAGCCAGTTGCTGTGCTAAGGATGTGGGTACGTATTCGCAGACACCTTCTGGGGACTTGATTTACTCTTAGCAGCAGCCGGCTCAGCCATGTCTCAGCAATTTCCCCTCCTTATTCCCTGCAGAGCTTGCAAGTTTTTTTCCCCTCTGTCATTTATCTGGCTGTCATCTGACAGCATCTCTATTTGTCCTCTACAGCCACATTTGTCCCCTACAGCTGCTACAGTTCTGGTATCAGTAGGACTGGGTTTGTGGGAATGGGGAGAGCTGGGGAACCAGCTGCCTGAATTCCCGCTTTCCCCTCTGGGTCACCTTGCCACCAAGCCCTCCTCCTCCTCGGGCACCTTACTAACCTGCTGCTCCAGGGTCCTGAGTTATTAATGAGAGCACAGCAATCGTGCTGCAGCACAGCAAGCCCATGGGGGCTGCCCGCCCCACACTCAGGCCCTTTCTCTTCTGCATGGATGCACTCCTGAGTGGAGGAAGCTCAAGCTAGGGCCCCCAACCTGCTCTCCTTCCTGCAGCAGAAAACTTCTTTTATGTGGGCTGGTTCGCAGCATGGTGAGGGGCCAGATGTGCTGCTGTACATTCCATCTGGATGTGGCCTCCCTGCTAATCTGGCTTGCCAGTGTCTCTGCTGCTGCTTCTCGTCCCCAGCACACCATGGCCATCATGGGAGAGCAGTGGGAAACGGAGGGAGGGAGGGAGGGAGCCTGGGGCTGTCCCACTCTCACACAGCCAGAGCTGCTCTTCTGCTCTTTGCCTGCTACTGGGAGAGAGATTTTTCTCTCCATTTGGCATCTGCTCTTGACTCCACAGCTGGGGAGGAGAGGGCTTTGCTGTGGTGTTTTACTCCAGGGTTCAAGTTTGAATTTCTTAAAAAAAAAACCCAGCATAAAACCCAGCCAAAAGGTTTCTGCAGCTTCAAGGAGAATGGCTTAAGTGTATGGGAGACAAGTATGCCCACGAAACAATTTCTGCCTGAGTCTGCAGGCAGCCTCTGCTTCAGCTGAAAGGGATGGCAGTTTCAAGCCTTTTGGTGCAAATGTAGGCTTTGCCTGCATTGTGTACACCATTACTCTGGAGGCACAGCTGCAGTACCTCTAGCCAGTCCAGCCTGAATATGCTTACAGGGTTCTTCATTACATAGTGCATCCTAAGTTCCCAGTACTGTTAACGCATTGGCTGCTGCTGATCTTTACACAGACCACATTGACTTAATCTGTGGTCTCAGACATTTTCCCCGTATCTTCCCAGCTTTCAAGACTTTTTTTCCTTTTGCATCAGTCAAGGACTCCAATATCCCCTGCAAAACTCCTGCTGGCCAGAGCTAAAACATAAGTGCTGAGAAATTCCTGTGGTTTTGGTCCATCATCTGCATCAAGCCTTTCGTGCTCGTCTTTTAAGGTGGCCAGTCCTCATGAGAGGTGACATCTCTCTGCCCACTGCACAGTGAATGCTGAAGTCACTGCAAATCCTGAGTGCGATGGATCATCAAGGTCTATAGTCCTTTTGTCACATCGACCCTTTTGGACCTCAGAGTGAAGGGACACAGTGGTGGTCATACTGCCATTGCTCCCTGTCTGCGCAACCTGCCCCAAAACAAGAGTAGCTTAAAATCACTGTCCACCTGAGTACTGAAAATGTGTTTCAGAGGAGATGTTGGCTAATCTAGATCCAGAAAGCTTTGCTCTGATAAAATGCCTGCCTTGCTTCTCCCCATTAAGTCAGGCTTGACTTCTCTGCCATCCTCAATACATTAGTACTTCACAGATCTGCAGCTCATTTTCTTTCTGCTTTGCAGGCTCCAGATGCCCCAGGGAACAAACAGCACCATGTGCGTTGGTCAAGCCAAGCACTACCAACTGTGCCAGCAGCAGGTGAGAACCACTTCCAGTACTGACTGGTCCTCAATGGGGAAAGCGGGACTCAGGGGGTCACACTTGGAGCTGCCAGAGCACCAGCACTCAGGGTGCGACTGGTCCGTCAGAGGAGTGCAGACAAGGGGTACGATCCACTCCTGGAGTAGCTGATGGTCTGCCTTTGAAGATGTGGGACATGGGCTCTACTCTCTGGGACCAAGAGGTGGGGAAAAGGATATAAAAACATACTTTTTGTGGGGTGGGGGGAGGGATGAAGCTTTTCCAATATGCTTTTCCCTTTGCTGGGAGTAATTTTTGCATGACTGTTAAATACAGCTCTCTGAGGGGCCCTTGCCAATGGAGGCCTGGCCTTTCTGCCTGTATTGTGGTACCTCAAAACCATCACTGATTCCTTCCGGGGTGAACAGGGCATTTTCATCCTCCAAGGATGCAGCAGGGACAAGCAGCTGTCACAACCGTGGCTGTGACATAGGGAGCTTTTGATCACATTTATTCCCTCCGTAGCCCTGCCCAGCCAACACAGCAAGCTTCAAACAGCAGCAGTGCTCCAGTTTCAATGCCAAAGCCTTTGGGAAGCGCTACTATCACTGGATGCCTCTCTATCCAGGTGGGTTTTCACAGCTTCCCTGATCCTCCACACAAAGGATCAGGGTGAGAAAACACCCACAGGATCTTCTCAGACACAGGAGAAGGGGAAGGTCCCAGGGAACAAGGCATGGATGCTCCTGGCTGGTCTGGAAGTGCTTCCCTATGCTCCCTGCTTTGGAGAAATCATTCCCTGTCTCTTCACAGAACTGCTCCACCCAGCCAGGCCTCCTCTCTCACCACATTGCTCCCGTTTTGGATCCTACATCAACAAGCACTGGTGGGCAGACAGGACACAGGCTTCTCTGAGCTGTCTTGGCTAACCAGCAGTCATCTTGGCAGAGTGGGTGTTCACGCTCTTTGTGCCTTCTACCATTTTGGCTGCCTCTGTCACCCAGCATGCTTCTCACTGGGTTGGTGGTGGGTTGTTCTGAACAGGATGCCCATCCGTTTCTGGTGCAGGCAAGACAAATTGCATCACATAGGTTGCCATAGATGGCCCTTGAGGCACAGATTGAGCTCACCTAAGATTACTCTCTGGACCCACCTGTTTTTCCATTAGCTGCCAAGGGGACAGAGAACATCTGCACCTGTAGCTTCAGTTGCTTAGCTACAGCCCCACACAGTCAGTACCCCTCTTACAGGTCTTGCTTGCTCTCCTGTATTTATGTGTGGCTTGGGACCTGCTGATACAGATTCCCGTGTCTGGCACAGGGGATGACACTGCAAAGGGGAGAGGGTATGGCAAGGAAGAGGGTTTGCCAGCAGAAAGCGTTTCTGCTAGGCACAGTCCCCAGCTGCAGCCTCATACCATGACCCCTTTAGTACTACAAAATCCGTAGCTTTGGGGTCTCATCTCAAGCAGCAAGAACATCCAAGGTGATATCAAACCATTAGCATGGATAAGCGGAAGGTCCCCTTCCTCACTTCCCATCTCCGAGCGCCTTGATCTGCCTGGCGACTTCTGCCTCTGTCCCTTCAGATGACTACACCAGTATCTCCAACAAGCCATGTGACCTCCAGTGCACCACTCGGAGTGGAGAGAGGCAGCTGATGGCCCGAGCACAGGATGGTACCTCCTGCAAAGACAGGACCTATCAAGGGGTCTGCATCAATGGGAAGTGTGAGGTGAGGCTCTGGGAGGAAGGAGTACGGAAATTGGGATTGTAAGTGCATGGCTGGACCTGCTGGTCATCGCAAGACCAGGGGTCCCAGCAGGGAATTGAAACTGAGGTCTGGCATGGAGTAATTACATTCACTCTTGAATGCCTATGGGCTAGAGCAGAGCAGAGAGGTTCACACAAAAGGAATTGGGTACATACACTTGTTCCCACTGAGTGACAGCACTTTCCTCCCAGCACAGAGACTAGAATTGCAGGTTTGTTTTCACAGTCATCCAATATGTAAAAAAAATAAAATCTTACATTTGATTTTTCCCTCAAATGACAAAGATACAGGGTGGTTATATATAATGTCACAGAGAGGTACCTTACAACCTCAGGCAGGCCTGCCTTTGATGCAGCATCTCCTGGAGGGTGATGTATATCGCTATGTCAGCGAGGTGGACTGGTCTAAATGCAGAGACATAAGGACCCGAAACAGCTTACCCCAGTCTTACTCCACCAACACGCACAAGCCCCTGCCCCAGGTTCAGGGGCACAATGTAGATGGTCACAAGTTACATAGGTGAATTTCTGCTGCTGTGAGATGCATTCATTACTCCACTCCAAGCTAACGTACGTCCTCCCCCAAACCTTTCCAAAAGAGCACGGTGGTATTTCCTTGAAAAGACCCTGACCTGTGGAGATATGCTGGCCCCAGGAAACCCTCTCTTGTTTTATTCTTTGCAGCCAGTTGGGTGCGATGGGAGCCTGTACTCACCCCGGACGATGGACAGATGCAGGGTGTGTGGAGGGGACGGCAGCACTTGCCACCGTGTCTCGGGCAGCTTCCGAAAGGCAATCTCACAGATAGGTACTCCCTGCTACCACAGTCCGGAGACTTCACCTGCTACTTCTTACCACCAGCTGGCATGAAGGGTGACTGGCTTGAATGCGGGTAGGAGTTTCCCAGCTGCTTGGTGGAAAGAGGGCCACCCCTGCTTAAATGCCTGTGTTTTGTCCTTTTCACTTACTCATCAGAGGAGATTGGTTTGATGTGCTGTATATTAGGCTGGTAAGGTTTCCCTTCACCTCTTTACAATAGGAAGCAGCTGGGGATCTATTTGTTCTTATTGATTTTGGCATCTTGCCCACCTCAGATAATGTGAAGAGATCAATGAATCCTCTTTTATTTATGCTACGTGTTCATTTGAAACTTAAGCTCCTATGATGAGGGTCACAGTGTTTGTTTCGGCCTGCACTTAGTGTCCTGCTTTCCCCAGTCCTATGGCTGGCACAGCTGAGGGACAGTCCCTCTGAAACTGGGCTGAGATTCGTCCCTTGTAACCTCATGGCCCATTCCTCCACTCACAGAAGGAACAGACTGTGGTATGCTCATTAGTAATTAATTAGCTGTGGTTTGAGGATGTTTTGGAACATCATTTCGCACTGTTGTTGTTTCACTAGTCTGCCTCACTCTCTGCAGGCACCAGACTAGAAAAGCACTTGGGCCCCTTTCCAGAGCAGCGGTAATGGTACTCACCCCTCTAGCAATACAGATACAGTTTTGGCATCCCATTCCAGTCCTTATAAAATCTTACAGAACGGACAAGACTTGCATTTCTAGCAGGAAAGACAAGCAGCCACACCATGTAACTTTAAGAGCCTTCTTATTTCCTCTCCCTTTAACGGTCAATTTTTATTCTACTCCTGCGACAAATTCTGTTGAGTCAGGAGCTAAGGGGTCCTGTGGTCTTTTCCATCCTCTGTTCAGCATCAGCCCTGATCACTAATAAGCTTTGTCTGTCTTTTTGCCAGAAATAGTGTGAGAGCACATTCACCCACACACCTAAAGCCAGACTGTTACACTTGTGCAGTTTTTTCCTGACTCCAAACCCAGCAGTGCTCAGGCGGAGCCCGAGAGACCTGTAATGGTGATCTGTAATGGGACTTAAGAGGGGAGCTGGGATTAGAGCTCACAGACTGGTGCAACATGCATTTATGTCCTTAGCATCCTGCCCCTGTAGGGCAGTGCTGCCCTCCTACATACACACTTTTCCCACAAGCTACCAGACCTTCCTACCCAGACCTTTTTATTTTGTCCTCATGGTTTCCTCACCCTCTATTCCCATTCCTCAGGTTACGTGTTCATCACCAACATCCCTGCTGGTGCCACAGACATCCTCATCATTGAGCGCAGAAAAACAGAAAACATCCTAGGTAAGCAGAGAAACCAGATGGATGTGGAGATCCCAGTTCAGCTGCCTGGGAGGTGGGAGGAGGGCTCTGTGCACTCCCGTCTGTGCTGTGAGAGAGCTGTCTGGGAGCATTTCCTCCAGGGTAGCACAGGAGCACTTAATCTCTCCATAAGCCAAGTCTACAACATTTCCAGCAGCAGGAAGGACATTTGGAAACTGAGCTCACTATGGTCCCTGTTTTGAAGACATTTGTGCTCTTGTTGGAGAGGGAAATGAAAGCAGCAGGCATGGAACACTGCTGATTCGACCTGATGCAGAACATGAACGCTGGAGAGCCTGCAGTTCTTTTTCTATTGGGCTTTTTTCAGTCATGAGCTGTTTGCTCTCCTTGGTGCCAGTGCAGCCCCGGTGTTCTGCGTGGAGTATGACATTTGTCCATTTTCTCTCTCTTTGAAGCACTCGCAGATGAATCCGGGCATTTCTTCTTCAACGGCAACTCCGCCATTGACAACCCCCAGAACTTCAGGGTAGCTGGCACGATCTTCAAGTACCGGCGGCCCTCGAGCCTGAACTCAGATGGGCTGGAATATATCATAGCTCATGGGCCCACTAACCAGTCTCTGAATGCCATGGTATGTGAGGAGCTAGTTTTAGGCTTTCCTGTCTTGCCTGTCCGAAAATTATGAGCCTCTCTCAGACAAAGGGAATATTAACCTGGTTCCCAAGCCAAACCTGAGTGTGTAGGTGGCTAAGGAAGCCAGATACTGTCCTGGGGGTGGTGTCCTCTCGGATTTATGAGGATGGTATCTTCTCTTAACATCCATTACAAAATGGATGTGGCTAGAAGAGGTCTCTGGGAAATACATGTCCTTAAAATACAAATGTGTTTGTTTTCTTTCTCTGTTTCCTCCAGTACTATAACTTTAATGGGAAAATGCCACACATAACTTATGACTACACGGTACCACGGACGCCACCTCTCCGAACTGCAGCCCCTGCTGTAGACAGACCTCTCTATCATCACCTACCAGAGACCAGCCAGAACCATCCCATTCCAGCCAACTCCAGAGCTGCTCAGGACTTCAATGCCACGTGGCTCTCCCTGTTACCAGATGTCACTAGTGAACAGCTTCCTCTAAGAGAAGGGCATGAAGATTTAGGCTTCAGCCACCCGCACTTCTTCCAAACCAACTCCACTAGTCAGACGCGGGACTGGGACTGGGAACAAGGTGAAGAGAAGAAGTATGACTTCCAGATAAGACAGGTCTACCATGCAAACACAGGAGAGGAAGAGGAGGAGGAAGCAGCAGCAATTGGTGGAGAAACAGAGTTGGGTTGGTTGCTTTGTTTTTCCTTCTCTCCCATTTTGTTCATTGAAAGTGGACATCCCACACTGGTCCTCTTGAAATCTAAGGTGCCTTTACCATCAGGGCAGACAGGAAGGAATGATGATTAATAGTGGGGTGGAGACTGTCAGGGAGCAGCAAGGGCCAGTAGTTTTGTAAGGAAAGGGGAGCTGGGAGAGGGTGGCCACGATACAGATCAGGCAGTGCCCTCTCAGGCAGGACAGTCCCACGGCACCTGAGCTTGGCAAGCAGGGCAGTGACAGCAACAGGTCCTAGCAACAGTCTAGTGATAAGCAGGTGGAAGCAAGGGGAGAAGTCAAATCTGAGGTCAATCTGGGAAAGCCAAACAACAATTCAGGGACAAAGTATACCCACAACATTGCTCAAGCCAGGACTGAAGGCCCAGGCATGAGCTTAAATGGAGCTCCTGAGCAATGGGCAGAGAGTGTATGTGAGGTTCGTCAGGGCAATTAAGGCCTGTTGGTGCACCCTGGTGGCAATTTATGATTATGAGGACAAATACTGAATGTTTCTTGCCTTGTTAAATCCCACATGCTGAAGTATAAGCCATCCAATATAGTTAAAGCGTCCCTGTATTTTTCTTCCAGCTCTCAGGTTCAATCAAATTTCCATCAGCACAGCTGTACCCTACAGCATGAGGAGATCTGAGCTCTCAGAGAACAGCCGCATAGCATCCTCCAGGCTTCGTCTCTTCAGGCGACTGTGTCACCGAGACCCACACAACACTGCCTTCTGTAGGGAGCTGCAGCACCTGGCAGCCAGGCTGGCCCCGAGGAACTCCACAGCAGGACTATGGACCGAGACAGCTGCCCGGTGGCCACAGGGCCTCCACAAGGCGCCGGCCCGTAAGAACTCACTGGAGGACTTGAAGGTGGAGGCATTTGCTGGGAGTCAGGGGGAAGCGGCCAACTACAGCATGATGGCATCTGCGGAGAGCCCTTTGCTAGGTGCCAGCCCAACCGCGGACATCAGCCAGGCAGAGCCTCTGCAAGCCCCTGGCACTGAAAGGTGGCACTTGATTTCCTGGCAAAACAGGAGCATGGTTAGCTGGGGAGGGAGGGTCAAGCCAATCCTATGGTAGTTTCACTGCTGTCCTTGATGTCCCCAGTGTTTATCCATGGCAGCTGCTGTAGATGCTTGACCAATGGTGTGTCCTCCAAAGACTGATTGTCACAACTGGCCTGACACAGAGCTCCCAGAACATATTTCAGGTCCCCCTGCCTCTAAGGGATCCATTTAAATGCATGCTGAAGGACCTGCGAGGCCAACACTGATTGTAGAGGAGGCCAGGAGTCTATAGCATGTCACATAAACATGTTTACCACCACATCATGCCCCTTCTGTCCCATTTGTCTGGGCACATAAGCTTCTTTAACTTAAATAAACATTTGGCAGGAGACTGAGGGCCAACTTTTAAACATTTCTGGCAAGGCACTTGTGAACTCTCGCCACCACATTATGTGATACTATGAGGGACCTTGCTTGACCTCCCCTTTCCAACCTAATGTCTTACCTCTGAAGGTGATAGTATGAACAGAGGCTGAGGGCACCTGCATGGTGGAAAAAAACATAATGTACACAAGACTCACTATGAACGATGCCTCCTGTCAGAGGGATGTTTATCCACAGCTGCCCACAGCCTTGCTAGTTGAATTCAGGATGTGGATCAAGGCTTTACGCTCGCTGTTCGTCAGTGGTCCATCTTGCCCAAGGTGGGCAGTGGGTTTATTCCTGTCTTCAAAGAGAGCGAGAAGGAATCTAACTATATCTTGTTCGCAGCAATTTTTCATTTTTAGCTTACGCCTCCTCCTTTTTTCACAGCAATGAATTTGATGTAAGCCCCGTGGGCCATGATGACATCAGCTTGGCTGACATGTATCGGTGGAAAGTCTCGGCTTATGCCCCCTGCAGCTCCACATGCACTTCAGGTAGGTTTGGCTTCAAGTGACTGATAATGTGAGGTCCTTGTTGGCTGTTGAGGGAGAGAATACTGGTATTTTTTTAAAATGGCAGATAGAGTATCAGATACAGTGAGCACTTCAGTAATTTAATCATGGTGGGAGGAGGCTTTTGAATCTGATGGAGCCTCACCAAGAGAGGGTCTTGATTGCCCAGCAGGTATCAGCACCTCCTATGCAATGTGTGTCCGGTACGATGGAGTAGAAGTGGATGAAACGTACTGCGATGCCCTAACCCGACCAGAACCTACTCATGAATTTTGCACAGGGAGAGATTGCCAGCCTAGGTGAGTCGAAATGACATCAGCTGTCCACAGGGACAACATATCTTTGTAAGGATCCTTTTCTGCTCAAGGCGTACAGCCATTTCTGGGTGGAAGATATGTTAAAACATCTAAGCCCTTGTATCCCCTTGCAAGCAAAAAGAGGGAAGGAACTTGCTGTCTAATTTGCCTGCTAAGGGCAAAGTTGGCTTTCAAGACCAGCACCACCTTAACACAGACATATACAGGATGAGCAGACTCATAGCAGCAGCTACTGGGTGAGGGAGTTCCAGGCGTGCCAGCATTCCCCAGCTACCGCATGTCCCTTGCCCCCCTTACCTGGATTTTCCTTTGCTTTCTCTCCTGGGGACTGCTTGTGGAGGTGGGAGACGAGCCGGTGGAGCGAATGCTCCAGGACCTGTGGTGAGGGCTATCAGTACCGTACTGTGCGCTGCTGGAAGATGCTGGCTCCAGGCTTTGACAGCTCCGTTTATGATGATCTCTGTGAGTCAGCTGGGCTGGCCAGGCCCATGGAGAGGAAAGCCTGCAAGAACAAGGCCTGTGGGCCCCAGTGGGAGCTCTCCGAGTGGTCTGAGGTAGGCAGCAGCGGAGCTTTGCTCCCAGAGGTAAGCAGCCAGGGCTGGCCTGGGGACTGGAGGAAGGTTGTGGGCAGATGCTGGGCGCTGAGAAGGCCCCTGGCAAACTGCATCCTGGTGAAACAAGGACTGCCTTTACCCACAGCTCCTCTGTTCTAGTGGTGCTCGGCAGGCAAAGGCCATTGCAAAACTTTTTTTCTAAGGTCACTTCTCAAGCAGGACATTCACCAAATGAAAGCTGTGCCAAGGGCTTTGCCTCCCTCTTCCAGAGGATCTAACTAAGGGTGAATGGGGAAATGGTAGCATGGAGATATAGAGAAGCCTAAAACACAATCGAAATCCCTTTGATTGACTTTCCACAGCCTACTTGGGACTGGGCCAGTGGCCCAGTGACTTTGAACAGCAGTCCACACATCAGCATCCTGTAGCGTTGGAGCTCTAGGACCCGAAGTAAATAAGCAGCAGAGAGAGAGATGGACCCACCTTTTTCTGTCCCTACTGGGACCCTTCCCCTCTCCCCTAGTGCAGCAGTGGAAAATGGGAGGAGGCATAGCTGCCTCCCTTGCCTTTGCTCATCCCCCTTGTTCTCTGTGCCTGAGCCCTGGGGCTGACTCTGTATGGCCATTGCAGTGTTCAGCCCGGTGTGGCACACAGGGGACGATGAAGCGGGAGGTGCGCTGCTCGGTGGAAGCACCCCTCTGCGATGAGTCCCGGAAGCCCAGCAGCGAGAAGGCATGCACAGGCCCACCCTGCGACCGCCGCTGGACCACTTCAGATTGGGGCCCGGTGAGTCCAGAGAGTCTCCTCCTTGCACCCAGTGCCGGGAGTGCAGGGCTGGGGGGAGGGAGCAAGCGGGCAGTCATGCTACTGCTCTCTTTTGGATTTCCTCTGGCAGAGGCTAAGCTAAAGAAACTGGAATAATCTATATTTTTTGCCTCTTCATGCTGTAAATTTTGGTTAGCTGTGAAGTGAGCTCCGTTCAATAATCTGGGAAGCTCACAGCACCTGGAGAATGTAAGCCCCTGACCAGATGTACCTCTAAAGACCCCTGGGATCCAGTGCCACAGTCCCAGTGGCAGAGCTAGGCTCTGGACTCAGGTCTCCTGGCACCACCTACCCCTGCACCTTCCTGCTTCCTGATGCATCTAAATAACCTTTATTCCTCCAAGTGCTCAGGTTCGTGTGGTGAGGGACGCATGAGCCGCTTTGTTGCATGTCGCAACCTGGAGGGCAAAGTGATCTCCAACTCGCAGTGTGACCCAGCCACCAGGCCCCTGGCTGTCCATCCATGTGGAGACAAGAACTGCCCTGCACACTGGGTGGAGCAGGAGTGGGACCAGGTAAAGCCAAGCCCAGCCCTGTGTCCTCAGCCCTCCTTTCCACCCCATATCCCACAGGAAACAGTTGGAGCCTGGCTCCCTTGGCAGAGCAAGGTTGTGTGGTGTGACGCCCAGCCATGGAGCTGTACCCTTGCCCTAGTTCCTTTTAGAAGGAGGGAAGGAGTAATGAATACCCCAACTCGTCCCCTTTATACCCTGTAGACTACCCAAAAGTTTTTGGCATTTGCTGCCTTCCCAGGGACCTCCAGTGGAGGGCAGCAATGTCCTAAGGAAACCTCTCCTACCTCTGGCTCCCAGCTGGCAGTTGCAGACACCACAGCAGAGCTCTTTGTCCAGAACCTGCACTCAACCCCTCCCAAGATTTTGGTCCCACCACTAAAGGGAAAGCCTCAACAAAAACAGCTTCATCAGTGATAATAATAGCCAGCGGTAAACCTGAACCCCAGCCCAGATCCCTGCCCTGAAAGTCAAGTCCAGATCATGACTGTGTACTTGCCTCAGGCCTTAGAGCCCAGGTGCCCCATTCTACTAAACAGTCAGTCTCTGCCCATCTACATACTCCTCTTCTGTTGCTCAAGGCCTATAGGCTTTAGACTTCCCAATACAAGCTGATCCAAATCTCAGAGCACCCAGGAGGAACTCATAGACTCAGTTGTGGGGTTTGGGCTTTGTTGTTAAAGTTTTGAGCAACAGAGTGATTCACAAAGCACTAAGGAAGAAGGCTTCTAGGGAATCGGAGAAGCAGCCAAGCCCTCTCACCTCCAACCATAGTTAAACCTCTGTTCTTTTGCCACCCTGCATAGCTGTTGACCTCATGCAGCTGAGTCTCCCTCCAGCACTGGTAACAAGCACAAACTGATTAAACCTGGGGACCCATGGCGGTCTCCTGCTCTGGCCTGTGGTGCAGGTCACACACAGTGCTGCAGTGTAGTTTTTCAGCTGTGTCCAGGCTATTAAACTCACCTGAATTCTGAAAGACTGCCTGAGCTCCCCACCTTCGCGTGTGCCAGCTTTTTGCCTTTGCTGTGTTCTCTTCTCTGATTTCAGCTAAGGGCGGATGCAAGCCAGCTGTGCTTCACCTGCCATGGTGAAGAGGGGCACAAAGCAGTGAAATCTCAAACTGGCAACTGCCTCCATGGGCATCAGGGAGCAGGGCTGAACTAGAATCACGTCTTGCTTCCTGATGCTTCTCTTGGTGGTGTTCTGAGAGAGTGAGTCCTCCCAGCAAAGCCTGCATAGCTTTGGGCTCAGCAGTACTTGTCCATGCAAATCACCTGCAGTGCACCACTTCCCTCCCCTTGGGCCCACGCAAAGCTCGTCAGTACTCCAAGATGTAGGCTGCTACACGAATATGCTACATGGTTTTTGAGAACATAGAAACACATAAAATAAGACAGAAACAGCCTCTTGTAGTCTTACCTTGGCTGCTCCAGGTCCCTTGTGGTAGCTGCTCTCAAGGCCAGCCAAGGTGAATTCAGCATTCCCAGTGCTGGCTGAACACTAATTACCAGCTCTTGTCCTCACTCCCTAAGAAATTTGGCTCCTTTGCAGACATCCATTGCTCTTGTGACCTGGGAAGCACTACTTCTGTTAGACTAGCGCTAGTACATGCAGTAAGCACCTTGCTTCTGAGCAGGATGCCATCTTACCTGCAGCCTGAAGCTCTACAGCTGATGAGCATCATTTGTTACCTGGCTGTTACGTTCTCTTTCCCAGTGCGATGCCAGCTGTGGGCGAGGGATGAAGACCCGGGTTGTCTTGTGCGCAGGTCTGGAGAATGGTGTGTACAGGGAGTACCCCGAGAAGCGCTGTGAAGCCTCTCAGAAACCTGAGGAACAAGCTGCCTGTTTCAGGAGGCCATGTTCAACGTGGTTCACTACCTCCTGGTCTCAGGTAGGGCTTGGAGTGGTGGTGAAGGGGGAGAGGAGGCCTCATAAACCTGGTTGGTGGAGCATGACCTGCACTGAGGATTTCTAGCAGCCTGTTCTGCTGAGGGCTTAGGGATGGGACCATGAGCTCTGCTCTTCTGCAGACCAGGCAGCAGGTGGAGGGACAGACACGCTAGAGCTGGGGAAGACCTTAGAGCACGTGGATTATACAGCTGTGTCTCCACCTCCGCCAGAAGTCAATGTTCTGTCTTTCCCTGCTTTCCCTTGATTTTAACTGGGGAGCATTTAGGGAATGGGTGGACAGGGGAAGCTGGGCCTGACTCGCAGCGGCCATTTTCTCCATCTTCTGTCACAGCTCAAAGCAAAACCAATTCTGAGTTGCATTGAAGGGATGAAAGCAAACTCCTCCCTTGCTCTGCCCCAACCTCAGCTCAGGGGGGCTCTCCTCCAGCAACAAAAAGGGAGCATAAGTTTGAGATCAGTGTGAGACTTGACCCAAACCTCAAGAACAGTCTCCAAAGCAGGGACCGAGAGGCCTCACTGGAAGAACGAACTGGGGAACTAAAGACAAATAAGAAAATGCCTCTCACGATCCCTTTCCTCTCTCTTGATTCCGACAGTGCAGCAAGACGTGTGGTGCTGGTGTGCGACTGCGTGAGGTGAAGTGTTACCAGGGGGAAGCGTTGGCTCAGGGCTGCGACCCCACTTCCAAACCAGAAGCCAGGCAGACGTGCCAGCTCCAGCCGTGCCCCACAGAGGCACCAGGTAAGTCTGGGAGGGCAGGGAGGGAGAGGAGCCCTTGGGAGCCCTTTGCTCTGTCCACCTCTGCTGGGGCAGCACAACTCCTTTTTAACCCCCTTCTGCGGATGCTTCTGCTCCCCAGAAGAAGACTGTGAAGACAAAGCGACGGCCAACTGCGTGCTGGTGCTGAAGGTGAAGCTGTGCTCTCACTGGTACTACAGGAAGGCTTGCTGCTGGTCATGTCGACTCAAGTCACCCTGACTGCTGCCAGGCCGTTCTTCCCTTCCAAATTCAGGGGCAAAGAGCCCCCTTGAGCCAGACTTTACCACTTGAAGCCACCCCACTTGGCTTGGCTGTGGAGCCAGTCCCCATAGACCAGCCTGCTCAGTGAGGAGGGATTCCTAGGACTTAGTCGTCACTGTTCCCTCTCCACCAAGAGGATTTTACACAAGACAAACCATCGGTTCCTAGAAAGCTACTGAGAAGTGAATTGGGGAAGCCTGTCCCTGCTGTTGTTGTCTCCGAAGAGCTCTAGTTGGAGGCGGTGGGGCGCAGAGGCCAGCCCGCAGCAGGGCACAGCCGACAGCGGCCATCTCTCTGGTCTGCCCTGCAGATTCTTCTACTACAAGGGCAATTTCCAAAACACACCAAAAAATTCTGTGTCACAATAAAGAGCTAAACTGTAAAACTGTGTTTTTGGGATGCATGTACCTAAGCCAGAGGCAAGGGAGGAGGAGGGACACAAGAGAAAGGAAAGCGGGAGCAGGAAGGGTTGGGAGGAAAAATCCATGCACCAGTATGGCTTCCAGGCAGCACCGGATAAACCCCATTTGTGTTGCCTGCCAAAGAACAGCAACCACTCCTGTTTAGTATTTCAAAGTCCTCATTTATTTCTGACATTGAATTTGGACCCATAGCTGAGCAACAAAGACAGAGAATAGTAACAGGAGGAATCTGGAGTGGAAAAAAAATCTGGGATCCCTGCCCCTACCCCGATCTGTTCCTCCACCATCCCCAAAACCTTTAAACCCACAGTTGCATCTCCCACGTTTCCAGCTCTTTCAGACTCACCCATTTCTCTGTAGCCGTGCCAGGCCCGGGGTGTTGTTGGCCGTGAGGATAACCGTCATCTTGGCCATCCAGCTACTCTGGAACTGCCTCATCAGCCTTGGCACCTCGTTAGCAGGTGACAGGTGATGCTTAATGTGCATGTGATGAAGATGACGATGCAGTCGCCTTCCTTTCACCAGAAGGGTGACCCACAGAAGCAAAACCCCCCTGTGTTATTCCTACCCTCCGGAGGTCACGGCCTGGCACGTGCTGCTGTTGCTGTGGGAAGCCTTGTTGCGTGCCAAGAGGTAGAGTCGGATGCCGGGAGCCACCGTGCCCACGAGCTGGCCCTGCGCCCTTTGAGGGGATGGCATCGTCGGGCCGACTGGCAGAGCCATGCAGGCAGGAACCTGCAGGTCATGCTGAGACATATTAACTTCTTGTGGCTCCCAGCAGGATGGAGACCTAGCTGAGCAGATGCTCTAGCGGGAAAGGCTGGGATTTACTGAGTGAGCCAAGATTTTTTTTTTTTTTCTAGTTACAGACTGTATTTTCAGGGAGGAGTACTGGCTGGATGGGAAGCCGTAGGAGTTACGGACTATTGGCCAGTGGGGTCCGGAGCGCTTTGCTGCTGCTAACTTTCATCTTCCCTCCTGCCTGCCCTTAACGTGAGAGGACGTTTAAAGACCCGCTATCGCTATTTGGAGAACGGAAGGAGACTGTAATAAACAGGCAGGTAGACCAAGTCTCAGGATAATGGCAATGCAATAGCTTTCTGGGCCAGAGGTGGTGGAGATGGTGCACAACGTTTGCTCAAAAGGCTGTGTAAAATGTGGGCTGGGGCAAGGTGTTTGGTTATCAGGACAGTCGCCACATTTGGCGTTCACCTGACTCCTTTTCTTCGGGTAGTTTGAGCAGAGGTGACAAGGCATGACCAGGTCCAAAGTGTAAATTAGCCTTTTGCCTGATAACGTACACATCTGTGGCTCACGTAGAGTGCACCTCCATGCTAAGACCTACTTTTTCTGTGTGTGAATGGGGAGGTTAAGTCCAAGTCCTTTGAGCAGCAGGATTATTTCTAAATTATGGTGGTGAAAAAAAACCCCAAACCACATTTCTGAGCAGTCATACCCTCTATTGCAAAGGCATGGCAAGCGGTTCCTGCCATGGCCTCCAACAGCATCCGCATGGCTGTGGGGATCATTGCTGTCCGGGTCTCTCCTCCCTGCTATGAATGGGAAGCGCTCAGCCAAGAGGTCCTGCACCGGTTGCTATGGAAGTGCCTGTGAACGATGGAGATGTCCTTTTAGTAATTTTTCACCTAATTTGGTTTATGGAGGATGAAGGAACTTTCCCACATTCATTTTTTTGTAGAAAGGCAGAGTCACTGGCTGTCATTACCAGCCGCAGAGCCGGTGAACCCAGGTTCAGGTCTTGCACCCTCTTCTTCCAAGAGCAAAAGAGGGGAGGGACCCCGACCACCTGAACATCACTCCTCCATGGGAGGTCGTGGGCCCTGCAAAGGAGGAGAGGTGACCCGGTGGTCTCTGCTGTTGCTGTCGAAAGCAAAAGTCATCCTAAAGCCAACCTTCCTCTGGCTGTCAGGAACTGTCAGGGTGGGCTGGTAGGCCTTCGAATGCTGAAGGTGACCAAAACTGCAGTCATTTAGGGGTGCAACTTTTCCCGTAAGTAAAATCTTGCCATTTTTATGGGTCCAAGTTAAAATCGCTCCTAAGAAAGCTTGTGAAGAGTAGAAGAGGTGGGGGCTTTGGCTGCAGAAGGATCAGCCTGTGCCCATTTGCGTAGGTGAGCAGTTTTGCGAGCAACTTTGCCTCCCCCGGCAGTGATCTAAATTCATGTCTTGAACTTCTTCTGCACGTGCAAAGACCGAAGCGGGGTGGGAGGCGGTGTCCTATCTTACACTCGAACATAAAAGCTAACTGCTAGCGGCAACTAACGCGGGACGAGGGGAGCAGGACAATCTGGATCTTCCCTTCTTTGCTTTCCGTCGCCGAGGAGCGCTGCCATTCCCAGCTCAGCGGTGGGATTTGCCGGGGGCGGCAGCTGGTGGGTGGTCACGCATCCGCTCCGTGTGCCAGAGGCGGCGGGCACGGCCTCAGGTGGCTGCGTGGGGAGCCCCCGCTCTGGGCTCGGGCAGTTGGGGGAGCCTGGGGTAATTAAATTAGGTTGTACTGTACATAGCCCTCGTTAGACAAGTCCCTTCAGGAGATAGAGTAGAATAATAATGACACTTATGATGGGTTCGGAGGTGGCCGGTTTAACGTCGCCCTTCGAGGTCTCTCTCGTCTTCTCGCCCGTAAAGCTTAGCCGTGCC